TTCAACAGCCATTTTTTAAAAGTTTTTTATTTTTATTCGATAGCCATTTAAAATGAACACAAAAATTCTAAATTCCATAGACTTTTTGGATGGTCAAACTCTCTGTATTAACATTTGCCTCCTAATGATGGTTTGCGGTGGCAGAATGCTAATTCCTACAGGTTTTGGCAGGTGAATAGAGAAACTGGGAGAGGTCATTGAGCTGACAGAGCCTGCTTGAAGTGAATAAATTATTTATGTGTCACGCATGGAATAGAAAAAGGAAGAACCGACTTCTGAGAATAAAGGTAGAAGGTGTCATTTTGGCAAACACAAACTGTAACAAAAAACAAACAAAAAAATGCAACCCTCAAACAGCATTATTAAAATGCTTTTTTCTCCCTGCCAGAAAAGAACCAATTGTCATAGTAGAAAGAACATTAGATTACATAGTATTATATTTGGCAAAGGGTTAATTGGTGCCCAGACAGAGCACAGAGTTTTTACAGGTTTTTTTTTTTGGCCAAACTGTCCATTCCAGATGTAGCAAACCATCTGTTCCATCTCTCTCCATTCCTCTTTCCTTCTTTTCTAATGTCTAAAATATTCAGTGGGGAAGGTCAGGTGCTATAGACAGGTAAGGAAAAGTTTGCTTTCCCTTTTCTTACCTCAGGGCCCTTAGGGCAAATGTATAATCCTGATGTGGAAAAGAAAAAATCTCAACAACAGCAACAATGATGATTTTATCTCAATTGGTTGGAAGATTTGATGGTGAGGTCTGCAGAGGTGCTATGCTTTATAAATTACCCTCATGTGTACTACTGTTTGGTTTCCTCCCAGAAATCATGTGAGGTAAGCAAGGGGAGGTTTATTTCTTCCATTTTTTACCAAAGAACAAAGAGGCACAAATGTGTTAAGTGATTTGCCCACCATCACTCTGGGCTGGATCTTACACCCACATTCTGGGGCTACTACCCATACTGCCTCCATTAACTTTCATCACTGAGAAGTTTCACTAGAACAGATACACACATACACACACACGTACATACATACACATATACATCTAAACATATATGTATATAAATTACAAAAAAGGAATAGTTCCTTTGTAATTTTCATAGGAGATATGAAGATCTGTGTTTTTGTACTTAGTTAATGAAATATTTTTTATTTGCATACACTGAACACTACTGATTACAGTAACTTATATAAAAAGTAGATAGATCCATAAGAGAAAAGAAATAGAATTTCATTGCCATTGATTTTTAATATTGAATTATTTTTAAAACATAATTCTTTTTTTTTTAAGATTTTTTATTTATTTATTTGAGAGAGAGAGAATAGAGATAGAGAGCACGAGAGGGAAGAGGGTCAGAGGGAGAAGCAGACTCCCTGCTGAGCAGGGAGCCCGATGTGGGACTCGATCCCAGGACTCCAGGATCATGACCTGAGCCGAAGGCAGTTGCTTAACCAACTGAGCCACCCAGGCGCCCTTAAAACATAATTCTAACAAAAACAATTCAGCATGGGTTTTTTGAAATGAAATGCATTTATCCACTCAATTATTAGTTCAAAGATATTACTGAGCACATACTGTGTTCTAGACCATGCACTGGGTACTATGGCTATAACAGGAAACAAAGAACCCTCTGTCTGTACCCTCAGAACACTCCAGCAGATGAGGCAGACATACCTTGTTATTAAGTACCTAATGCAAGGACTCTGGGAATCTAACCTAGTCAGGTGGGGTCAGAAAAGCTTCTCTCAAGAAAAAACAATTAAGGTAAAATTAAAAAAAAAAAAATAGGAAGAGATAGGAGGGAGCACCATGAAAGAGCATATCAGGAAGAGGTAAATTGTGGAAAAGGAATAACGTACAATTTAGTGAAGTGGATGGATCACCAAGTAGATAACTTACCGTGGAAAAAGTCCCACAGACCAAACCCGATGGAACAACCAGAAATATTTTGTGGCTTTACCACATAAAATATTTTACTTTACACTGAATTCTCTGTTTCTCAGCCAGAGCTCAAAACCTCTTGAGTATATTGTTTTTATTTTCTGAAATTCAGTATTCACATGGAATGTAAAAACTAACACTCTTAGACACCTTCTCCTTACAAGAACCTTTGACCTGGACTGTCTCATTGAATCCTCACAACCACCTTCACTAAATGATATCCTCTCGGCTTTTTACCAAGGCTTACAGACCATTATTTTCCAAGCATCAAGGCTGGCAGATCCAGAATTAGAACCCAGATTTTAGGTTCCTTTGTCCACTGCACTTTGCAGGATACCACACAATGGTCCTGCTAGCTTAAGAATCCTATTCGTCCATCAGATGCTTATTAAAAGTTCCCATTTTGGAAAAACAAAAACAAAAACAAAAAAACCTTTCATGACCCAAGGAATGAAATGAAGTACTCAGATTTGGCCTCCAGTTCTCTGGTGTCTCCTGCATCCATTTCCATTGGTATGCAGATTGGTGCTCTCTCTCCCACATGACCATGGACACTAATGAGCAAAGGCATGACCAAGAAAATGTCAGTACTCTATGCAGATTGGCTGGGTAGGATAGTTTCCTTCTTGAACATTCATCCAAACACTTTTCAATCTGCCATCATGTTTTTAGGCACTACAACATATGATTCCAAAGACTGTCACTATCAATACCCACAGTTATATTCCATCAAAACCTCTCTATGTCGGGAGCAAGAATCTTTCTTTTTTTTTTTTTTTTTAAAGATTTTATTTATTTATTTGACAGAGAGAGACAAAGAGGAAACACGAGCAGGGGGAGTGGGAGAGGGAGAAGCAGGCTTCCAGCCGAGCAGGGAGCCAGATGCAGGGCTCGATCCCAGGACCCTGGGATCATGACCTGAGCCGAAGGCAGATGCTTAACGACTGAGCCACCCAGGCACCCCGGGAACAAGAATCTTTCTATAGTAAAGCTTAGTAGAATAAATTCAGTTAAGCTTCTAGTTTCTAGCCCATGCTTTGTATTAAAAATTGCCTCAGCAACCTGAAAGACTAATTGTCCTTCCCAAGATGCCTGTTTCTTATCCTGCTGGTAGGAGAGAAAAGGGGTTGTTGGCAACCATCCTCCCAATGAAATCCCATAAATAGTCTGGCCCATTTCTTCTGTGCCGTGTTCCAGAAGTTAGTAGACACCTAGGAAGAAGAAAGTAATGCACTAAAAACATAAAAGGTGGCAGGTCAGGTTAATGCAAAAATGTAGAAACAAATCCAAACTCTCCTGGGAAAGGAAAGTTAGGTTGGCAGGGCCCATTCTGCTACTGGGGATGCACAGCAACCTCCAAACCTGGAAAGAATTTGAAGAGGGGCAGGGGTGGGGGAATGATCACATTCCAGAATTCTGAACGATACCAGGTTGCAAAATATTGGGTAGATTAAATGGAATGAGATCTCAGAGGAAGAAGCAGAAAAAGGAAGACCACGAAGAGGAAAGGGACAGAGGAAGAAATGAGAAGCAGTATGGGAAAGAGGAAGCATCCTGTCATAGCAGCTGCAGAAACACACGTCTGTTATCAAAGGAGTAGGTGTCTCAGGCAGAGTGGATCTGACAATTGCAGTCTGGAAGCTCAAGGCATGTGCGCTCCAAATACAAGTCAGTCCCCTGCCTGGCGAAAGCAGTTCAGCCCTCCAGCAAGGAGGCCAAGGGAGCAATGGGAACCCAGAAAGAAAGGAGAGCTTCCTGCTAGAGTTTCTCAGTTTGGGAAACACCTGCTACATCATCAGTTTGGGGATGGAGTGTGTGTAAAGTCCAGACAATCAGAATCTCCTGGGGTCCTGCCTGGGGTAGTTGACAAATGCCTTAGATGAGTTTATGTATGATTAAGTTTCATCACCCCTGGCTGAGAGAGAAAACTGAGTGGCCAAAGCCTTTTGTTCATAGACTGCCCAAGGTTATCTCTTGGTCACAGCACCTGGGACAGAGCTGTACAGACAAAAGAGACCCCCCCCCCCCAGTTACAAAGGTCTTGGAATCCTTTGTGCTGAGAAATCCGCCCAGGGTCTCTCCATAGAACATCCCTGAAGGTCAGGCCACATCCTCTGAACATTAGTGAGGTTCCTGATAGAGGGTCTGTAGTTTTAGAAGTTGTGTCCTATTTAATGGTAAGAAGGACACAGTCGGCACCTGCGGGTGAGGCACCAATTGCATCTTCATCAGAGCAGCTGTCAGAACCCAGGGTGGAAACCAAAATGGACTGCTCGGGGAAAGGTAGGAGGGAGAAAGGTCCTAAGAAGTGAAGTGAACCAGGTAACACTCATGAAGACCCTAATTGGAAATCAATATGCTGGTGCCAAAGGCAATATGCTCCCTCATATAACTGTTATTCAAGTTTTAGGCCTAAAAACAAATTTGTGAGGAAAATTCGGGTGAAGTAGAAACGCTCTAATTAATTAGAAATTTGTGTATGTGTTCACTGAATTCCTATTTCCTAGCAGATAAGCCAGACTAACCAAAACCATGTTCAAAGTCAGGAGTTGCGATAGAAATCCCTAGTCAAATACACAAATCGTTGGCGTGCAGAATAAAACAGTGACCCGGAACCACTATTTCCTGCTAACCCTTGACTCGTACCCTTTCCCTCCCCTCTGATGACTGGGTTGGTGAGTTGAGGTCCTAGGTCTAACGTATCCTTTCAGAGGCTGCCAACTTCAGGAAGCCTTGCCCAGTACCAAGCACTTCTGTACATCGCCCCAATACCGTAAACCCTGGCTTCTAGCTCGGCAGCATAACCAGCCCTTGCACTCCCGGTGGGCTCAGAACTGCTGCGCAATCTCCATAATCTCCATCCTTTATCCTCACTACTATCCCCCGCGACACACTTTTGTGGTAATGATAAACCGAAAGCCACTTGCAAGATCTCTGCCCGTGGCGTCCTGTGACGCCTTATTTCCTGAAAGACCAGGAAAAGTCCTTCCCAATCCGAGTCCCATCACCCAGCCCTGGGGAACTTTGGAATCACCTCTGGTCTCCCTTCTCTCCGCAGCTCCAACGGAAAATCCGTCACGTGGGCCCAGAACGAGAAGAGCAGCCGGGGGCAGCACCTGTGGCAGCGGCTGTCCATCCACATCAACAAGAAGGAAAACCCCAACCAAACGGCCGTCATCAAGCCCTTCCCCAAGAGCACGGAGAGCCGCGGCCTGGGCGCGGGCGGCGGCGCTGGGGCCGCGGGCGGCGGCGCGGG